ATTCTGGGAGTGGACGTCCACACATCTTAAAGTTGCCAAGTTTGGGAAAAAAACTGCTTGGAACCGGGCTGTAAATCTTTTCCATCAGTTCCAGCGAGATGCTATCTCAAATAAGGCTGCAATTGGGGGTTAAATTCCATGGAGTTCAATGCAGCCTACTTTTGAGTAATGGTATGACGCTGTGACTAAACATGCAGCAGGGTTGGAGTCCAGGTCTGCAGTCTTATGTATATTTACACTATTAAGATAACTGAACCAAAGCGGATGTTTGTTTCTGCAAAATACCTCCAAGCTGCGTTAACTATCTCCGTTTACTATTTATGAATGAAAACGGAGACCACGCAAGCCACCGCGCAAGCGCAAGCCTTTGACTCGCCAGCGCCTGCGCAGACGCTCGGACCATTCAAAAAAAAAAGCGGGAGGCAATCGGTTAGCTTGTGGCGCATGCGCAGGGGCGCCCCTTCCGTCCGGCTGCGGGAGACGAGTGGCGCGTCATGGCGGCGCGCAGAGGCTGGTGTGGAGGAAGGGGCTCGTTCCTGGCTTTGGCCTTCGGGGTTACGTTGCTGAAAGTACTCCTCATTCCGACGTAGTAAGACATCCGGATTGTTTATTTGTCCTTCGGCTGATTAAAAAGGCGAGCAGAGGGAGGGGGGAAGGTTCAGCCGCCGCCATTGTAGATTCGGCTGTTCCCAGGCAGGTTTCCCCCGCCCTCCTCTGATCGTACCCTTGTGGCTGTTCCCGTTGCTTCACGCCTCCCTCCGTGCATTTCTTAGCCACGCTTCCGAGCCCCGTTGCTCTACAGTCGGTACGAGCCGTGGTGGCTGGGGATGATGGGGATTGTAGTGTAACACTTCAAGAGGGTGACTGTAGGGAAACAATTGCTCAAGGTTTCTCTTGGAATATTAGTTGTTGTTATTAGTACTGTTCTCTACAATTAACCTGGTTAGTGAATTAACCCAAGTTTGCACATTGACCCATAAATTTAAAAAGTGGATGATTATGTATTATGGGTTGTTAATTGTGTAGTGCATGCTACTATTGCTTTGGCTGCAGCGGTTGCTTTTATACCCTGCTTTGAGTCATTTTGACTGAAGCCGTTTATAAATCCATTAATAAATAAAAAATCAAGCTTGGCCTGTTGTTTTTTTACATAATTTTTATTAGGAGTTTTTACGTAGATAAAAGACAAATACAGCAATATATATAAAGAAAAGAGAGAAGAAGAGAAAAGAAAAGGCAGAAAACAATGCAGTTAAAGAAAAAAAGATAAAGAAGTTTAGGTTAAGGTTTAGGCTAAACCGTGTCTGTTCAGTATAAAAAACTACTGCAGCAATTGTGGTAACTATCCATTATGTTCAATAATGCAGGAGAAGCAATTTTGTCAACTGATGGAAGGAATTTGAAGAAATTGCCAGGATTGCAAGCAATTACAGAAGGGTTCTCGGTTTAGGCCAGTTGCAAACGGATGCTCAGGCAGAGCCTTTTCTCAAAATTCAGCATCAGTTTCACTTTTAGGGTTGTTTGTGTGGGAGGCCTAAAGATGGGAAAAGGCAGTGGCAAGAAACCAATTCAATACATTGATCACCTTAACAGTAAGGGGCTCCTATAAATAGTCGTTCCGATGAAGGAATTCTGGTAACTGCAAATTGTTCTGATGTGCGAAGAAATCCTTCCGTGTATCATTAATAGTTTGGTTTGTCCTGTGAATCAGTAAAGCATTACGCTGAAAACCTGTAGCGTTCCCTTGTCATGCGTACACGTATGTAGTTTTTCTTTACGCCTTGCAGTGCGGTGTCTGCTTTTTAAACTGGAAAATGTGAGTGCACATATTAAACACATGTGAGTGTTTAATAAAAGACATTTTCCAGCCATTGCTTTTGGAATCAGGAAACTGAATGCTTTGCAGCAAAGCCATGGCAGAGTGACGAGAAGCACACAGTTCCTTTTTCTGTGCAACTCTTATGTCAGTTATGAGTTTAAATATTAGACGTGCATCTTGTATTGTTATCAGAGCTACCCAATTGAAAGGAAAAAGGAAGTACGTATTTGTGATGTTGGCCACGGGTGACCAATGGTTTGTAACACGTTTTTACCTGGTGCAAGAAAGGGCCAAATTACGCACAGAGTAGAGGGAAGGCTTTTACACTTTATTTCTGTACAGAAGCAAAGAGGCGCCCTCAGGACCAAAATCCAAATCGAGCGTGGAAAGGGGCGTTGTCCAGAGGTTTTTATACATTTCACTAAGCAGGTCACATTCATCACAATTCTTCTTGGCTAAAACAAATCCATGGGTGAATTATATCATGCACATATGTACCACAATGATGTACCCCATAATAAGCCATGCGGGGGCTGATTAGCATCTCATGTTTACTTCTAGGGGTGTGTTTTTTACTGTTATAATGAGGCAAGGGTATAGTTCAACTTTTAACTAGTCACATATCTGTAGTCGTGTATCTAATCAAACCAGAACAAGCAGGAGCAACACAGGGAATTCCTAATCCGGCGGGGCCCACAAACACCTCCCCATACACAAACACCCCGTCAAGCCCACAGTGAGACTGATTAAAAGAAGGAAGAAATGAGATGGTGACATAGGAAAAGGTATTTGATTTTAATCTATTTTACTTACGATCAATGGTCCTTCGTATAACAATCTCAGAGATACGTATTTTCTTCTTCCTTTTAATTTAGTCTTCGGCCATAAATTTATAAATGTAAAAAAGTGGCGTCTGCTAGCAGTGGGGGAGATCTTTACTAATGACACGAGCCAGAACGTTTTCTGGGGTCAGTTTTACTTATTTATTTATTTGTGGGAAATTCTTCCATTTCAGGCAAGTTTGGCGATTTCAGAATTCCATGAGTTGTGCCTTTCATGTGGCAGTTCTAAAAAACAGAACATTGCATAGGATGTTACTGCCTTTGGATCTTTTTTTCCCCACCACCGCAGTAAAATATTTTTCTATCCAAAGATTTTAATTTCCTTGAATATATTGTTCAGACGTAAAATAGGGTAGATTTTTTTTCCATATCAAATAATGTTGCCTTAGTTCTTGGGCAGACTGTGGGCTGTGAGATGAATGTGCTGGTGAGAATCATGCTTATTAGGGTGGGAACTTTTCTAGACTGTCTTGTTTTATTTCCCAGTAAAGTACAGTGTAAAATAACTCTGGAGTGTGGGGAAAAAACCTCTATCTGGATACTAATAGTTAATTCCTGGTAGTCATTCCACAGATTTTGAAGTGCACAGGAACTGGCTTGCGATTACCCACAGCCTACCAGTCTCTCAATGGTATTATGAGGTGAGTGTCTTATTCGTTGCATGGAAGGTCCCTGGGTTCTTAGAACAGTGAGGTCTAGTGCCCTGGATAGGTCAGCAAAGTGCTGTGCCTTTTAAAAGGATGAGGTTCTCCAGGCATGGTCCACGACTTCCCACTTTCCCCATGCATGCATGTCCAACACAAGTTGTGTAAGAACTTTCTTTTGGGGATTTCTTTTGCTGCATGATCCAGTGAACCCTAAATCTCTGCGAAACGACATTAAATTTGCAAACCGTTTTTTAAAAAATCTCCGCAGATTCTGCTGCTCCTTTCCATCCTCCTCCATTCTTCCTCTTCCTCCTCCTCTTTGTCACCAAAAGTTAGCCTTCCCTTTCTCAGTGTAGGCAGGCAGCTGTTGGATTAGGCTAGGAGCAGAATGGATCTGTACACGTAGCTCACCATTGTGCTAATCTAGCTTCCATCCACGACAGCTGCCTCCATGTTTTGTCCTACAAATCTGTGGCAAAACAGCCGTTTCCAAGTCAGCAGGGGGAGCTGAGGTGTGGTGGGGACTACACTCATTATACGGCTACATGATCTACCCAAAGAGGTTGTTTAATCAGAAAGGCTGCTTTTAAAGGCTGCTTGTTGTCACTGGAAGCTGAATGAACCTCTGGAGCAGGCAAACGCAGTCTCTTTTGCCTGTACTGTCAGCCTTCCTAGAGTAAAGCGGAGGTCTCTGTCTGGTTTAGCCAAGCAAACTGATCCAGATCGTTCCCCTTTGCACATGCTAACTTAGCAACAACAGAACAGAAACCTGTTTGCCGTGGTTTGGGTTAAGTTCAGTCTCCAACTTTCAAAGAGCAAAATGGGACCTGTTAAATAGATTCTGGGAAGCTCTTCTGATTGCTTGAATTCTGGAGATTCTTTTAAAAGGAGCTTAGCTTACCGTCCTTTTAGAAGCTGGGGAAAGCGGGTGTTTCAAGGCCTTCCCTTGAAAGGATGTGGCTTCTTTGTGATGTTTATATGGTAGAAGAGAGCAAGGCACGCTTCTCCTACACGTTACTAAGAAAAGCACAACTGGAGGACGGGAATGAATGTTGGCCTAGATTTTGGATGGCCCATTGGGGCAACGTTCCAAAAAGTAGCAGGTGAGGCCATGGCCTAAGTTAAAGATGATTGTGTTTCGTATTCCTTTATTTTAAAATAAATATAGTCTTATGAGTGTTCTCTAATGATGTATTTAATTGAGTTCAAAAGGTTGCCTAGGCCAGGGTTCCTCAACCTTGGCAACTTTAAGACGGGTGGACTTCAACTTTGCTGGCTGGGGAATTCTGGGAGTTGAAGTCCACCCGTCTTAAAGTTGCCACGGTTGAGGAACCCTGGCCTAGGCCACCAGATTGAACTGCTGCTTAGCCCCAGGAATGCAAGCAAGAGCACCCCAGAGCCATGACTGTTTAGCTTCAGTTTGAACCAGCAAAGGGGAGCCCATCACTTCTCTGGAAGATCAATTCCTCTCTCAGACCACTTTTATTTATAGAAAATGTTTCCTGATATTTAGAATTTGCCATCCTTTAACTTAAATCTGCGTTCAGCCCTCTGGAACGAGGGAGAACAGAACCTGGCTTTTTCAGAGCAGTATCCCTTCAGGTATTTTACAGACCATCATCTCTTCATCCCACCTTGTCTAGGCGAATCCAATCCAACTCCCTCCATCTTCCTTCAGCAGACTTAGTCCCCCTATCATCCTTGCTGCTCTCCTCTGAAGCTTTTCCAGTTTATCCGAATCCATCTTACTCAGTCGTGCTCTGAAGATGGATCATAATTCCTCCAACTGTCAGCATTAAAAAGTGCCATCTGTGATAACTTGGTGGATGCTGGGAATTGCATTCAAGGCCCCTGGAGGCTGCATTTGGCACGGGGCATGAGATGGGCACATCTGCCCTGTGGTCATGGTTTTCAAGCAATTTTCTTAGGTCCAAACCATTTCTCTTCCTATTTATACCAGGAGTTCAGGTCCATCATTCTGCCTCAAGAAAATCAAACTCCCTGGTGTGCACAAGTTATGCCTGCCAAGGAGGCTATCAAACCTTGAGTAATTTTCCTGTTTTTCGCCTAGTTCTGCCAGTTAAGGCATTTTATTCATGTCTGCTTTTTGGATTATGAGTTTCCTGTGTCCTCTGGCTACGTATCTTCCAACCTGTCTTAGCCACGAGGGCTAGAAAGTTTGGGAAAATGCTGAATCTCCAACAGAGCTATATTCTGAACCTATCTTAGATTTCCGTGCTTTCGTAGTATGTCCCTAGAAGTCAGACAGGTAGATCCTAAAACCCATTGATAATCACGGAATATATACTCTTTCAGTGTACTGTTCATTGTTTATAGTTTTTCTTTTTCCTCTTAATTGACTTCAGTTGTACCAACTAAATATTTTTACAGTTCAGTAGGGCTGTGTTTTGCCTAGAAATGGGATATGAAATGCCTTATGGTACTTTAAGTTGTTAATGATATATTAGAATATATCGACCATATGATACTGCTAGTTATTCAAATTTTCTTAGTTATCCATCCATGTTTGAATGCTTGCCCAATTTTTTCTTACTATATTTACTTATTCATTGAATTTATATGGCTGCCCATCTCACATACATGACTGGGCAGCTCATACATTTAAAAGTAGCAAAAACAACTGCAACAAAAAACATGAAAAACTATTAAAGCAATTAAAAACTATAAACAAAACACAAGAGAACGCAATCAAAATCTTACACACAATACAGCCATTTCACAGACTTCATATCTCCATGGGATTTCCAGGCCTGATGGGAACCATGTTTTCAGGGTCTTCCAAAAGGCCAGTAGTGTCGGGGTCAATCTAACCTCAAGGGGGTGATGTTCCAGAGGGTGGGTGTCACGGCAGAGAAGGGGGTCCACCTGGGTCCCATCAGATGAAGCTCCTTAGTAGACGGGTCCTGTAAGATGTTCCTTCTGCTGGACCTGATGGGATGGGTAGATGTAACTGGGGAAAGGAAGTCCCTCAGATAACCCGGCCCCATGCCATGTAGCGCTTGGTAGGTCATAACCAGCACTTTGACTTGAACCCGGAAGCCAACTGGCAACCAACGCAGCTCACAGAGCAGAGGTGTAACACGCGCCATTCTAGGGACACACACAACTGTCAGCTGCTGTATTTTGCAGCAGTTGAAGCTTCTGGATGCTCCAAGGGCAGCCCCATGTAGAGCGCATTGCAGTAGTCCATTTGGGAGGTGACCAGCATTTCCTATGCTTTCTTAAATGTGTGTTTGTACTAGCATGATTTCTTTACCTTTTTTCCTTGGAATTGTAATTAATAAATGTCTGAAAGGATGTCTGTTCTAGTAGGTCAAGGCCTAATCTCTCTCATTCCAGAACACAATAACAGATCCAAGTTATAGGAAGACAAATTCAAATTGAATGTTAGAGGGAAAAAACTTCTTAGCATTGAGAGTGATTTGAGAGCGGAACCAGTTATCCTGAGAGATGACAGACTCCCCTTTTGTTGGATTTACAGGTAGTCCCCGGGTTAAGAACGCCCAGTTTAAGGATGACCCATAGTTAAGAATGGAGCCTCTTGTAGCAAAATTGGAGTTAAATGCACAGTGATTCAAGTTAAATACACAATGGTTCAAGTTCATTACACAATACTACTTATACAGTATTATATGATAACACTGTTCCAGCTTACATACAAATTCGACTTAAGGACAGACCTTGGGAACGGAACTCGTTCT